AGATAGATAGATAGATAGATAGATAGATAGATAGATAGATAGATAGATAGATAGACTTACGATAACATCCCGGTGGCGACTCGTCCCAGACGGCCGAGATCAGGCAGGTGAGCTTCGGGTTTCCCGCCAAACTGTAGCCAGTGTTGCACTCGTACTCGGCCGTTGCTCCAGGGCTGACCGAACTATACTGGACCGAGCCAAAAGTCGGCTTTTTGGGATCTGGGCAGTCTGTATATTATGGTTCAAGGAGATAGGTTAAGAAACGGGTTATGTCAAGGAATAGCTGAAATTTTGTAGATCAGAACCAAGACTTGGCCACTCTTTGATTTTCCAACCAAAAAAAAACTAGAAAGAAATTTACAAAACATAACGAGACTGCATTGTAAAATGCCCCTTGATATCTTTATTCTAATACTAGCTTTGTCTGGAAACTTCTCAGAAAACTTTCTTTGACAAGACTTTTTATTGTACACCTTCCCTTTTCTCGCACTTAGCTAGATCTTATCATAGACAAACATTAAAACAGAACGTTCTGTTTCTGAGAAAACCATAGATTTACTGTGTAGAAAGAGAGTTTAAACCGATAACATACTATAATACTCTATTCTTAACTTCAAAAAAGCTTACATAAAACAATACGAACTTTCGGGGATCTTTAGAGTTCCTAAAAAGACGGTAGAAATATATAATGTATTAAAAATAACTAAGAAGCCCAAATTAAACTGTCGAAAAAAAGTGGGAAAACATCTACAGAAGACACAAGGAAGTAAAGCCATTCCTACAAAACAACACGACTAACACTGATCTTGTAAATATGAATAAATACGAACCAGAAGGGATTTCGTTGCGTTCTTAAGAGATCTCAAAGCAGTTAACGCCCTGATTTAACACCAAAAAAAGAAGTGATCTTATTGTTGAGACACCGAGCCACTTGTCACGAATACAGTATCACGTATATCATCAAGGTGCATGAATTGAAAAAAATATATATACTTTATATAAGGGGAATACGACAACCTTAGTTTACATCGTATTTTCGGGTTTTACCCCACAATTAAATAAGCTTCAGCTTTCTTGCTTCTCCCTCTCTATCCCTCGCTCTCTCTTCGCCTCCAAACCCCCCCCCCCC